GTCGGATTCCTCTTCGCCTCGGCTGACAGTTCGACCGTCTCAACACACGCTAGCTAGAGCCGTGTGATGGCGACAATGGTGGCGGGAATTTTCACGACCTTCGCAGTGGTACGAATCGCCCGCGAGTGTGAGAACTCCGCAAGTGGTGACGATTAGGATCATTTTGCGGAGGTGATAAAATCGCCCCGCCAGCACATTTATAGGGGTGTATATGCGACATGGCATGCGACGGCTGGGGCTACGTCCTTTCACCGAGTCTTAACGCCATCGGCATTCTATTCGGGAGTGGTTGGTGTTTGCGGCCCTTGGAGCCCTAGGCCGTTTTTGCCACTTGCTTACCCTTTCTTCGACGCGTGTAGTGCTCGCGACATGGGCTATCTCCCTTGCTGCGCTTTTGCTCGACCTGCAGGCGTTTTTGGCGGTTGCACCGCCCAAAGATTTGGGTGGCACGGCTGGTCTAAATGGTCCAACCTTCGGTGACCGTTTGAAGGGTATTGTTGAACCTTTCCAGGTAGTCATAATGGCAGGGTCAAGTTGTGAACTTGATGGGATATCTCCCGCGACATTTTGCGGAACCGAAGGTATCTCGGAAGAGGTATCTTGGACTTGGGGTATCCCTCAGCACCCTAGTTGGTTAGCTCAAGCTCAGGTTGGCGGGCCATTTGCTGTTGTAGGACCAGTAAGAGATTCTCCTGATAAAGGACGAATACTAAATCAAGGGCCCTCTTCTAGCGCCAAACTGTTGATGCGTGATTTTGACACCAACCAAACGCCGTATGAAAGCTAAGCAGGCTCAGAAGACACAAAGTGAATGCGAAAATGAGAGTAAATACAATGGAAAAACAGTGTTTAAAGTGGTCGGATTCTAAGAAGACCAATCCTACGTCCACTGATTTTTGTATTAATGATAGAGGTCAGGTCGCGTTAGCGAACTGAATTACAAATGATTGTACAAGAGAGAGAAGCATATATTTTGAGAGAGAGAGAGCTAATCCCGCAAATGAGAGAAGAGCTCTCAATTTATAGCGGGATGGAATAAGGTCATCATTGCTAAATCTGTAAGTTAGTGGGATTATCCGTGCAAATCCTTTTTTATGTCATTGCTCCCATTCTAGAGTGATTTACGCGATTTGGTGCAAGGATTGGGACACGTGGAATCACTATAGCTTCTAGCAGGTTCTGCGCGTGCCACTTTACTGCCAAGAGTGTGCTGTTGCTGTCACCACGCAACGTGGCTGCCTCTAACCGACTGCGGGCCTACTAAGTTGTGACTTTTTATGCTGGCTGAGCCTTGCGTCAACCCTACATCTTCAGGCCTAAACACGTATAAAGTGATATGATAGGAGATGAATCTGGCACGCCACTTTGTACTGGAAATCTTACAAACTTATGTGGAACTCGATATTATTACTTTTTTGTTGTCATTTTAGTATTTATATTTTTCAAGATAATAACGATGACTTATTACCAGAACACTATATTTGAAACAAGTGTCCATGTATTATTAGCTTGAAACTATAAGGATGAAAATGTAAATCTCTCTCGTTCATCTAGCCAACAGTAGGGGTGTTCAAAAAAATACAAAAACTGAACCGAATCGATAATTGAACAAAAAAAAAAACGGTTAACTGAAAAAATGATTCGGTTACAGTTCAAAAATTCAAAAACGAATTTCTGGTTCGGGAAAAAATAAAAAGCGGTTAACCGAAACCGGTTTTTGAACCAGTTTTACAAATATTATTAGTATATTAAATAAAAATAAAAATAATATTAAAATAAAATAAAAAAATATTTATAATATAAATATTAATAATAATATTATATATTATATATTATTATTGTTAGTAATGATCAATTGATATGTATGAATGTTTAATTTTTATTTGAATGTATTATTTATTACAATTTAATTAAAAAAAAATATATATATTCGAAAAACTGGTTTTCTTCCAAACCGATTCGGTTTCTGTCAAAAAGGGTAACCAAATTTGAACACTTTCTCAAAATAACTTTAACAAAAATTCAACTAAGGCCAACCAACCAGTATTAACAATATATCGACCCAAATAAAAGCAAAACAATAAACATTTAAACAATACACCATAACTTAACTATGTACCTCAAGTGGGGCGTTACAATAGGATTTTCAAAATTCTATTCCAACACTTTTCTGACAGCTTGACCGTTTGAGTTTTTTTTTTTTGCAGCCTTCCCCTTTTTCACGCGTTCTCTTTTGACAGATTATGATACGTTTGAATTTTGTTTCTTTGTAGTTGTTAATGGAGTATATGTATAAGAATGATTGTAAGGGTTGATAATTAGTACTTTTGTCATATATGTATTAATATGATGTTTTTAAATAGTTGGATTAGTATTTGAAATTAATATGGGTTTTTGTTTCTTCATATCTACAGGTGACAAAATTACCAATAAAATATTTAGAATTATTAAAATGTAACTTGATAAGTTATATATATAATAATGCATTATTTTAACAAACTTCAACAAAATATTATATTAATAAATCATTTATAAAAAAATATATTAATCAAATATTCAACACAAATATCAAGGTCAAAATACTCAACCAAACACATATTCTGCAAATCTTATTCTTGTAATCATAACCCTATCCAACTATCCAATCTTATCCCCAAAATTCTATTCAAAATACTGAATCAAACGCACCCTAAGGGTATTCTTATATTTTCTCATATTTTCAGTAAAAATTAACGAAAAATATAACAGAGCCTATCAAACGGTGGAAAAGTGTCATTTTAAAACTTGAAGGGTGGTAAAAATTGTTTTGCACTCTCCCATACTTTAATGAACCTTTAAACTTTAAACTTTGATTCAATATAAACACTAGTTTCAATATAAGTACTAGAGACTAAAGTTTGGCGATTAAATAAATAATAAAAATAAGAATATAATATTTTTTAAATTTCTTTATTTTCTATGAATTTGAAATTAATAAAACTATATATATTCTCAACTTGTCATGAACGTACACCAATACGGCATATAATCCATGTGAGTTTACTTGAAGACATATGACCCATATAAGTCCATTTGAAGATACAGGTTCACTTGAAGACATACGGAGGTCCACTTGAAGATATATGGTCTAAGCTAGTTTACTTGAAGACATACAATACGTCTTTATAGAAAGTGAGTTAGTGAGAATTTGCTATCATTGAGCCAATCTCTTTCATTTTAAACACAATTCAGCCCTCTTTATGCTGCTTTTTTACTTGTCAGTCCCTGTTGGTTTATTTTATTTCTAATTACACCACTAAGGTTATATATATATATATATATATATATCATATTTTGGACCCAACTCCACCAACTCTTTAAAGTTTCAATAAATTTGTGACTTACGATGTGACAAATTATATTATAAGCTAAAGTATATAAAGTGAAGCCCACTTACAAGCAATGTAGTCACCGAAAGTGGATTATGACTAGGACCACCATTCACTAAGGTAACGATCAATTGCATTATTTTAACTCATTAAATTTTTGTTTTAAGGGATAGAGTTTTAAAACCCAAGGGGTTGGTCTAGCGGCTAAGTAGGTTTGCTCTATTCCTTTAAGTTTTTAGATTCAAATTTTTAAATCACCTACTACAATAATATTATGACTTAATTGATTCTTTTGGCTTGTAGAATGTTCAATGGATCTCAATGATTAGTTATATATGTGTGTGTGGTTGGGGCTGATGTTTAGGGTCTGCTTGAAAGTTTCATGGCAGCAATTATGAGAGTAAATCACTATAGCGGTTTTAAGGGTAAACCATCGTAGCGGTTTTGAAGGGTTTTTAGTAATGGTTTTTAAAACACCCAACCTGCACTTAGGAGTTTATTTTCTAGCACTTCTACCAATTTTTTAAAATGATAAATTTATATATATGTCCATAAAAATATTCTTACTTCAACCAGTACTTGGGAGTTTTGTTTTTTCAATTACAAGGTAAGAGTTTTTTTATTTTTTTTTATTTATTAGTATTTTATAACTTCAAATGTGATAAAGTCTCCTTATCCTTCTATGTCATTCTTTGCAACATTTAGAATGATTGAAAAATTTAGCTCCACTTCTCCAAGAAAAACATTTAGAAATGAGATTTTAATAATTTTTTTTTTTTTTTTATGATTGCTTAAAATTATTTTATATTTAATATGGTTGGAGACGCATAAAACATATTTATAAACGAGTACAAAGATACAAGTTCATATGATAAATCAAGTTATTAGGGGGGAGTAATCTAATTAGATGGCATAAGACCATGGATTAATTATTAAGAGAGTACAAAGTATGGAGGGATAGTTTTGTGCGTTTGTGCATTTTTTTTATCGACAATAGTGATTTATGGATATAATTGGGATAATTTTGTAGTAGATAGAGTATTTGTAGAATAAAATTTTAAAACCAACCAAAACACTCCGATTTTCTCAAAAATGTACTACACTGGTTATAAGGGGTTTTTGAGCTAATCAAAACCGGTGCATAAAAAGTCTGGCAAGTAATGGTTTTATAACACTTTAAAACCAGTCTAATTAAAAACCTTCTAAAACCATTGGGAAAAAAACTCATAAGCAGACAGAAGTGAGTTCTACCCAAACTCATAAGCAGACAGAAGTAAGTTCTACCCAATCCCATGTTGTGCGTTGTGGAAGCTGAACATGACTGCATGTGGGATATGATTTTACAACTGTTTGAGAATATTTTGGATTACAAAGATTAACAGATGAAGAATCATTCTTTGATCCCAAGTTGTTGATATAACAATGAACAATATTTATGTCTAAAGTACTGCAACAATGCAGTTTATAACCTTAATACAAAGAGGTTAATCGATCCTTATGATCCAAAACAAAAACTTTGAATCCTAAACCTAAACATATATGGGATCACCCTCACAAAATCTAAATTGCATAATTTACAATACAAAATTTACTTTTGTGCTGAGATATCATCCTTCTATTTTTCTTCAACTGCTCTCTAATCAATAGAAATCAAAATGGCACCCATCATGGCCTGTTGAAAGACAAAAGAGAGCAAGAAATATTACAAGAGTAAAGCTCGTTATGTCGCCCATAAATTTTCTTGTAATATCGAGGTTTTATTAGGCCCAAAAAAAAAAAAAGAACCGGGCCGGTTTAAAACTTACTTGGATCAACAGTGACTAACATGGCTGTGCCTCCAAATGAGCATGTACCACCAGCAACCTTGTTTCTTTGCCAATAGCTATTGAAGGCATAAGAAGCATGGGCGTAAACTGTATTGGGCTCAAAACATGGCCCGCTGGACTCAATCGTATCGCAATCGGCACCCGACCCACAAGCGTAATTAATAGCTTCTTGGATGATTGGGTCAGGCACTGATGGCTTGGCAACACACCAAAGTGCAATGTTTGGGCTTTTTTTCGGAGATGGTGGCACTATGGGTGGAGGGTACACTATTGGGGGTAGAAACACTGGTGGGCTTGGAACAAACCCAGTAGGAGATGGAACGGAAGACGGTGGGCTTGGAACAAACCCAGTGGGAGATGGAACGGAAGACGGTGGGCTTGGGGTAGAACCTGAAGGTGGGCTAGGCTCATAAAAAGGTGGGCTCAATACGGACCCTGGTGGGCTTGGAACGTAGATATATGGACTAGGTAGTGCTTCCGGGGGGCTAGGAACAGAGGATTCGGGTGGACTAGGGGTCGGAAAAGGTCCGGATGGGCTCGGCTCTGAACCTGTGGGACTTGGAGGTGGGCTTTGAATAGGGAGAATTGGAGGGATATAAGGGGTTGTTGGTGTGTATCCTACAGGGGATGGAAGAGTTGCAGAAGGAGGTCCCTGTGGTACTTGAGGAGTGAAAGGAGGATAAATGCAATATGGAGGAGCATTTTCAGTCAAGGGATATGGAGCTAGTGAATCAAAGGGTGGTAAAGAAAATGGAGAACTCACACCATAAGGTCCGGTGTTCGACGATGGATCACCGTCGTGCTTGATTACTCTCAATTTCTTTGAGGACTTGATGATTGAACTTCTTGAATGTTTTCTATCTTTCCTTGTTAGCCCCATTGATCTTCTTGCATCTGCACAAAAGACAATAATATGAATTTTTTAATATTTGCTTTTGCAGCAGCTTATTATATGAACTGCAAACTGCTGCAATAAAGCTGGCTTGCATCGTTTGGATATTCCCGATAAAGACTTTATTAAACTTGACAATGAAGATTCAAACATGAATCTTGAAATTCAAGACTCCCTGGTTTAATCTGCTTGAGATGTCGAAATAGAATGCAGAATCAAATGTTATAAGCAATCTAATAATAAAGAAGCTTACCACATTGGGTGAAGAGAAGAGCAGCCATTGTTAAACAAAGCAGCAGTAGGATCCTGCAAAGTCTCCTGTTGCAGTTTCTATGAGGAGTCTCCATGGCTGGAGCTTTGATCGATCAAATTAAGTTTAAAACTTCAGACAAAGGCCAGAAAGAGAGGAAGCAAAGAGGGTTATATAGGGATAGAATGGATAGTCCTAGAAATGTTCAAAGGGAAGGAACGAGGGACAAGTAGCGAGGATTGGCCATAAAGATAGATTCTCCAGCAGCTCACTTTGCTATGGAGCAGACACTTTGCGTGGAAATGTGTACGAGAAGAAATGCTTGAAATGGTTCAAAAGAGGAGATTGTCCACCGCCTGTGTGTGTGTTATCTTTTCTGATTATTTTTCTGGGTACTCATTTGGAGTGGCATATATGCTTGCTTGACATGGTGAAAATTGAAAGTTTTGATTTGGTTTTGTTTTTGTTGCCTTTTTGTTTTGCTTGCTTTTTACTCAAAGCTCTTTCTTTCTTCTTTCTTTCTCTTTCTGTCTTATGTCTCACCATCACTCTTTGGCCTTTGAATCAATGAATATTGCAATATTAGAGAGGAGTTGATGCTTCCTGCAAAATTTTGCTTAGTATACGGTTAATTTTTATATTGAATATGCTCATAAACTTTTTAGTAGAATAAACACATGAACTCATCATGTGGTTTACATATGTTTTTTTTTTTTTTTTTTTTTTAAGGTAATGAGGGTGTTCGGTCTAGTTTGCTGCATCTCAACTAATTTTCAGGGTTTATAAAACACTGTATAAGCACAATGGGTCAATTTTTTGTTAACCGGAGTATTCGGGTTTGTTTATGTACACCTCAAGCTTAACTAATCCTGGTAGTCTATTGAATACCTTACATACCTAATGGATCAGATAAATTACAAATGTAATAAGTAACCACTTTATATGATTCAAACACAAAATCTCTGGATAACTATCAGTCTTACCATCCGTCCACAAGTCACAACCTCTGTGGTTTACCTAAGTTTCTTTCAACAATGCGAGACTATCGTGCAATTTTACTACACAACAAATTTAATGTGTAATATGTTTATCTATTACTTGAGGCGAAATGGTTTGAATTTACAATAGTATTGATTATTGCAAGATTTATGATTCGTGTTCCACAAGTACCCTATTGCCAAGTCAGTTTTGTTCTTAACGTTTTTTGGTCTCTATCCATTCTTACTAATTACGACTGAATTACACATTTGACGAGGTTGAAATTTTAGACTTATGAATCATTTACTTCTTTATCTATGTTTACTGCTCCTGTCTGTAGTAACGGAGAGCAACATTTCATCTTAAAAAATTCTTCTCTTACTTGGTCCTCGTGAAATTCGGGAAGTCCACCAAATTTATCATAGATGATATACAGGGTTTGATCAATATCTTACATATAAATAAATTGCAACTATCTGTACCATGTATAATTATGTCGACAATGGTGTGCACTAGTATGAAAAAGATGTAATAGCATGTTTTCTATTTTATTTGTCAACAATACATGTAACTTTGACGTGTCATATTTGTCAAATATATCACGTGAAATGTATTTGCTCTTTGGTATATTATATGAGTTTTTTTTTAGGTAATGCTAGAGGTACAAAGAAGTTTAAATTTCTTGTTGTTGATGCGTGATTTTTGACACCAACCAAACACATGTGTGAAATACTGAGCAGACACAGAAGACACACGTGAATGCGAAATGAGAGTAAATGCAATGGAAAACAGTGTTTAAAGTGGTTCGGATGCTAAGGAAGCGAATCCTACATCCACTGATTTTTGTATTAATGATAAAGGTCAGGTCGCGTTAGCGGACTGACTTACAAATGATTGTACAAGAGAGAGAATGCTATATATTTTTGAGAGAGAGTAGCTAATCCCGCAAATGAGAGAAGAGCTCTCAATTTATAGCGAGATGGAATGAGGTCATCATTGCTAAATCTGTAAGTTGGTGGGATTATCCGTGCAAATCCTTCTTTATGTCACATTGCCCACCTTCTAGAGTGATTTACGAGATTTGGTGCAGGGATTTGACACGTGGAATCACTACAGCTTCTGGCAGGTCTGGCGCGCCCACTTTACTGACAGGAGTGTGCTGCTCCTATCACCACGCGACGTGGCTGCCTCTAACTGGCTGCGGGCCTACCTAAGCTGTGACTTTTTTATGCTGGCTGAGCCTTGCGTCAGCCCTACATTTTCAGGCATAACAGAAGTCCCCTAGTTTTTAAGGTTTGAGGATCGAACCTTGGAAACTACAAATGCCTTGATTTGACTCGTTTGAAGAGATGTTGGCCGATCCGACCTGACTGCAAAGGAGATCGAGAGGACATCCTCTCACAAGCGACCTAGGAAGATCAGCGACCTCAGGACCAGTGACCTAGTCACGGGTACCCAGTGCTAGTAATGATCCCGACCTATTCGCACTTGTCAACTTTTTAGGATACATGGCCATGCTGCTTCATAGTCAGTCACATCGCCTCGCGATTGATGTGAGATGGGGTCGAACAATCACGTCGCTTTGCGACTGATAAGAAGTCCGAAGAGTCATGTCGCTTCGAAACCGACGAAGAGTGTTTTTGGTAACGATCTCTTCAGATATTATCCGTTGCACTTTTCGCAGTAGGTGCATTAAATGAAATGCCCTTTGCTTTGGCAGACGTGTCTTATGCGCAATAAGTGTCAGCTGCGCGCATTAAATGAAATGCCCTTTGCTTTGGCAAGCGTGTCTTATGCGCAATAAGTGCCAGCTGCGCGCATTAAATGAAATGTCCTTTGCTTTCGCAGACGTGTCTTATGCGCAATAAGTGCCAGTTGCGCGCATTAAATGCAAGCCAAGCTGAAACGACATTCCTTTTTAGGGCATTAAATGCGATTGTGGGCGCATTAAATGTGGAGGAGGGAAAACGTGCCGTCGTTTGAGCGTTTCAATGGAAAGAGGTGACGATCTGTTTTCTAAAGGCGTGACGGTCACTCTTCCTCGTCGATTTGTGACATGTAGTCGCTATCAATGGTCAGATGCATTTTCCACCTAAACGTCGTTTGATTTCGGGAAATCAAAGCGTCATTTCCTTCACTATAAAAACCCCAAGCTCACTTCAGACAAAGTCACAGTATTTTCATTCTCAGGAAGCAAGGAACTTTCGCCAGTCTTGATTCTTGGCCTTTCGGAGTGGTGTTCACTCGATATTTGGATCAGAAGAGCCAACATTTCTCATCCCAAGAGGTAAAGATGATTCTCTTCTTTTATCTTCAATGTTTTTAGCTTTTGACAGTCATCATGTGATGACTGTCCGTCAGTAACTCATCGAAGGCGAAATACTCTCCGTTGGGTTGGAGCCAATAGTGGTGGCTCTTTTAAGTATTTTATTAGGGTTTTTTGGGGTTTAGGGAGCAAAATCTTTCCTCCACGTCATCGTACAAAAATGTACGAAGACTGAATGGTAACATTTTGTCGCTTTTACAGATTGCAAAATGGACCCCCATAAAGGAGCCAGCTCGCCCATAGAGGATGCTCTTGCGGACCTCCCTCGAGAAATTTACTCGGCGCTTTCTGCCGACGAGCTGCAAAGGATGGTTAACCAGTTTGCTATCAGCGTAGAGGTTTTCTGCGATAGGGTGCATACTGCCCAAGATCCGCCACGTGGGATGGCCGCGATCTTGGAGGATATCTTCAAGGGTGGGGGTTGATCCCTTTCCACCCTTTCACTAGGTCGGTCCTTGATCACTTCGGGATCGCACCAATGCAGCTCACCCCGAACGCGTACATGATCGCCATTACCATGTACATCGTGTCGGGAGAACCGACTGGGTGAGCTAACCACGATTGAGCTCGGTTGCTCGTATGTTTTAGAAAAGAGCAAGGACAAGGATTCTTGGTACTTGTCCATGCGAAACTCAATACAAGCGGGGATACATAACTATTCAAGCAATGTGGGACCATACGACACAAAATTTTTCTTCTTTCGTTATGACGGCGTCAGCCGCTTTCAGGATCCGAATAGGTTCTCTTCCCTTCCGAACTTACTCGATTTCCGTTCTTCGCTAACGAGTTGTTTGTTTTCTGACAGTTAATAGAATGACCAGTCTGAACTTGCCCGCAGACCTAGACATAATTGTTTCATTTGGTTTTCTGTCCAAGGAGAGTCGCGACGCGAGGTTGCTCATGACAACCGAGAACTTACGGAGGTACGTCTTCTTCAACAAGTACGCAGCCTTAGAGTCCCCCTCGAGTAAGTTTCTAGACTGCCTTTTCTAATTTTTTCTGCAGCGAGCTGTTTTACTAACGGTGTTCGCATGCAGCGACATGCCTCCTCGGGTGTCCAAGTCGCCACGATCAAGGCAATTCTCTTTCCCCCAGAGGCATACCGCCAGGCCAACTAGAGCTGCTCCCAATGGTCCCCCGGTCAGAGGGACACATGCGAGTACTCTGACCTAACCTGCGGAAGTTCCTCCATCCTCGACTGCTTGCTAGAAGCAGAAGACTATGACCTTCGAGGCCTAAGAAAAGGCGGCAAATTCGGTCCGAGGAAACAGAGTCCAAAGAGGAAAGCTTGGGCATTCAGCTTGAGAGGTCGCAGAATTTTCGAGCATTCAGCTCGGGAGGGCCGCTCAGAGGTGCGGCCAACATTTCCATCGGTTAGTCAACACGACCTACAGCCGTAGTCCCCGGGAGGAGGCCAGGCAAAGAGCCCGCGGGACAAGCTCTACCTGTCGAGGGCGTCAGAGCGCCTGTGATAGACTCAATGGCCCAGCTCTCGGGCCATTTGCAATCGGTGGTCCTAACATTGTTGGAATGTGGACTCGTAGAGTCGTTCGAGCAGTTCTTGGCATCCAGTCCTGTCGAGCTGCTGTCCACATCGTTCCAACTCTTTAGCCAGGTAAACGAGCTGTCCCGAACGAGGACCTTTACTCGTTTTTTTAAGGGAAGTAGACTAACTCTTTACTCATTGTGTAGGCTTTGCTTTCCCTGCATGTCTCAACAGAAGGCCC